CCTCCCGCCGAGGACGTCCCGCCCGGCGGGGGCAGCGGAGCCTCCCGCTCCCCTCAGCCTTGGGGCCAGGCCCGGGGCTTCGCACCCGCTCGAAGCGTTTCGCTTCGTCTTTCAGGGCCTGCGCTCCGGGAGCGGCTCCGCTTCGGAAAAGCGTCCGCTTATCTGGGCCGGGCCGGCGGCCCCGCTGGCAGGGAGATAGCTGGTGGCTGTCACCCGGCCTGTAGGGACAGCGGGCGGCCGTGGGCGGCCCCAAGTCAGGCATGAGGAAAAAGGCTTGTGAGTGGAGCTTTTCACCGAGATTAAAGCTGCTTTCGGATAGCAGAGGGATTTTCAGGACGAGGACAATTTGAGGAGTAGAAGCGTCCCCTCTCAGGCTGCGAGCTGTGGGTCTTCTCCAGGTCGACGCCAGGAATTTGAGGGACTGGCACGCTGCAGAGGAGCAGGGCCAGAGCGTGCGTGCCCTGGGACTGAAGCCGGTGTGAGCCAGTATTGCTGCTGGTAGATGCCGTTCTGGTTGCTTCGTGCTGCTGCAGTGCTTGTTCTGCGATGTGGGACAGGGGTCTGGGCCGGGTTAAAGCTGGTCTCGGCCAGGTTAGTTCATAACCTGGTAACATTCAGGCTCGCCTCTGTGCCCGCACCAGCACAGCAACAACAGCAGAAGGCTGGCTTGGGCCACCCTCCCACCCACCATGCTGAGTCTCGGTTCAGTTGGAGGTTTGTCTGGGGTGTTGGGAGCAAAACGAGCTCAGCTACAAAACTCCTGGCTCAGCCTGTTTGCTGCTCAACTCGGAGCCCTGACCAGTGATGCCACTTGTGGAGTTTTAAGCATTAATTTGTTTGGAACTTCTGTTGTGAGGATGGCACGGCAAGCCTGAAACTCTGCTGCCAGCCAGGCAAAGTGATTTTTAAAATGACTCCCTAATAGTTGGCTGATTTGAGCAAGAGAGGTAGAATGGGAACTCTGTGAAGGAGGATTTTGGAGAGCGTCACAAACCTTCTGGCTAAGGCTGATTTTTGTATCCTGCTGTGAACAATGTGTGGGGTAAAAGCAAGTTTTGGAAGGGGCCTGTGAGAGCTGGGGCTTGAGCACTGACCTGTGCTTTGCAGGAGAGGGGAATGTTTACCCTCGGGTGTTTGGGGCGGGGGGGAGCAATTCTGTGCTGGTGCTTCATGGTCCTAAAGCCACAGAGGGGTTTATTTTTGTTCTGAATTACCAGGTAGCAATGGCTTCTGTGTGTGTAGTCTGTGCTGGGCAAAGTATTAGATGCCATTAGTGGATCTGCACTACACAGATTGAGGTTGAGCTCATCTGTTCAGAGACCTGCCTAGGCAGATGTATCACCTCTGCATGGAGGCAGTCACAGGGAAATGAATCTTCTGGAGGCAGGTTTTCCAGCACCCCAGTGGCATGGGGGAGAAAGTTGAAGGGGACAAAACCAGATGACCCTGTTTGGCCCCTTGTTAGTGAAGCCTGAAGCGTGACTGAAAGCTTTTCGATGCCTTGTGCGTGAAAACATTTTGATGCAACCTCATGGTTCAGCTCCTTAGTGTTTCTTAGCAGAGAAGGAGGACCTTGGCTGGAGTCACAGGGTGCGGGGTGGTGCAGCAGTCGCGTGTTACATGGCTCGTGCTTAGAGGGTGAAGACCCAGCCACCATGACAGGTTCTCGCCCTGTGCCTTTGCAAAAGTTATTCGGCTTTAAGATCTTGTGTGTCCCTTGGTGCGAGTAAGCGGGACCTTCAGGCACATGCGCTGCTTTGCAATGTCCGTCCCCCCCACCTGGTGTCAGCTTGCCAGGCTGGGGGTGAGGCTCAGCCGGGGGGGTGACAGCTGCTGGGTGTCTCTGTTGGCAGGTGAAGGAGCTGGTTCTTGATAACTGCCGTTCGGACGATGGGAAGATCGTTGGTCTCTCTTCAGATTTCGAGAACTTGGAGTTCCTCAGCATGATCAACATCAACTTGTTGTCTGTCTCCAATCTCCCCAAACTCAGTAAACTCCGGAAGGTGAGTCAGACCTGCACTCCCATCTCCAGCAGTCCTTGCTTGGAGACTGCTGCTGCCCTGTTCCTGGTGACAGCTGTTTTTCCTGTATTTGCCAGAAAAAGGCCGTTTGATTTTGCTTTTTCTTTGTAGCCTACAATCTGAGCAAGTGGGAGATTTTTTTTTTTGGTATGCAACAGAATGCTTTTGAACTCATGATGTGTTTAGGGTCCTTTCTCTCTTGCTGTTGTGCTACTGTCAGAAGCTTCAGTAACATCATAAATATTTTGGGGTTTAGAGCATGTGTCCTTGCAGTACAGAGGTGGCTGGGAGTGCTGTGTTACCACAGAAAAGGACTTCCAAGTGAAAACTTGAACTGCTGCTCTATTACGTGATCTAATGAACAGGGCCTGGAACTTGGGTGCTCATTGTAATCCAGTTCTCAGGGCAATTTTATTCCTGTGTCACAAGCTGAGACACTTAGTGACTATGTGATATTCCCTCCTGGCAGCTGGAGCTGAGTGATAACAGGATTTCTGGTGGCCTTGAAGTTCTAGCAGAGAGAACTCCTAACCTGACACACTTGAATCTAAGTGGCAACAAGATCAAAGACATCAACACCCTGGAGCCCTTGGTGAGTGGAAGGCTGTGCTGGAATCTAAGGGATGAGGTTGTTTCCTTTGGGGAGCGTGTCTGTGCAGCAGAAGTCCAACGTCTTGGTAACTGTTCCAACAGCACTTCGTGGTTCTGATGGGAACAGATGAGTGGGTCCAATTTGAGGCTGGGCTAATAGTTAATGGCTCCTCTGTATGGAAAACCAGCAGCCACTTGCTAAAAGAAGCATGAAATTGGGCTGGATGAGTAAAACTGTGGATGCAGTGCTCAGTGTCCATCTGAGAAAGGACCGTTAATGGGTCGGATGCAGTTTGAGGTAGGTGGCACCTGGGGTGTCATGGAGATGAGTTGCTGGGACACCAGTGAGGGTGTCCACATCAGTCCCGAGGTGCTGTTGTGCTGGGCTGGGACCCTCTTGCCCTGGGTGCTGTCACGCCTTGCAGCGCCTTCCTGGTGCATCCGAACCGCCCCAGAGGCGGCTCTTGCCTTGTGATCCTGACTCTGTAGCTGAAAGGTCTGAACTAGGGCATTTGCCTCGTCAGGTGTTGCCTTTGGTCCCTCTGTCCCCTCTGGGAAGAGCTTGGATCTGTTTGGCTCCTCCTTGGCTTGACCTGGTGCATGGTGCGATGTCCTGAGCGGGGGAGCTGCCGTGGCTGCGCTGAAAGGCGCTCGGGCGCAGTCTGCGGGTCTCCCTGGATCGTGCTTTTGGGTATTTTGCCTGATGTTTTGGGCGGGATGAGTCTGGCTCAGTGATTCCTCCTCCTGAGGCAGCTGGACTTTCTGTGCTTTGTTGCCCACCTCATTCAGAATGGAGTCAGATTGGCAAATGGTTTCACAGGGAGCTGGCTCCAAGGAGGGGAAACTAGGACAGAGGAGCTGAAAAGAAATCTTTGCCGACAGTTAGCAAGAGCCATAACTTCTCTCCATCTGAGGAGCAGCACACGGTGCAAATAGTGCATGCAGAGACACTTTGTACTAGCTCTAGGTAGCAAACCAGCTGCTTGATCTTCGAATAATCCAACAAATTGATCTTTGCAGAAAAAGTTGCCAAACCTCCATAGTCTGGACCTCTTCAACTGTGAGGTGACGATGCTCATCAACTACCGGGAGAGCGTGTTCACCCTTCTGCCCCAGCTCACCTACCTGGACGGGTTTGATGCTGATGACCAGGAAGCCCCTGACTCAGACCCTGAAGCAGATGGGGATGGACTGGAAGACGAGTATGAGAATGGGGAAGGTGAGGATTTTCTCCTCTTGGTTTTCTCACTGGAGAGCAACCCCTTTTCCCTTTCTGCGTGTTACTAATTATAATGCTGATTGTAACTTGCCACTAGAGATGGGGCTGTCTGGGTAACCCCACTCCCTCCTAGGCAGCCTGCGTAAGGAATGAGACCTGCCGCGGCTGACGGGGCTTGTTCTCTGATTCCCTGCCCACGGCTCGTGTAACGTGGGTTGGAGGTGCGAGTGTTTGGGAACCATAACACCTCCCTCTCCTTTTGGTAGAAGGTGAGGAAGAGGATGATGATGAGGAGGAAGATGATTTGGATGAAGAAGTCATTGACGACGAAGAAGATGAAGATGATGATCTGGAAGGTGAAGAGGAGGAGGATGGAGTAGATGATGAGGTGAGGCTTTCTGTCATCGCTACAAATCTGCAGCACTGCCTTGCTGTGGTTGGTGCCATGTTTGTCCCTTAATCCGGTGACCATCTGGCCGGGTGTCACAGATGCCTCTTGGTGGGCAGATCTGAGGAGTGCTGCCACGCGCTCTGCCTTTTCCCGTGCACCTTTTGACTCGGGGTCTGCAGAGTTTGCCAGTTCAGACTTGTTTATTGCTTGGCCTGGGACTTCCCATGGCTTCAGGCCGGACAGTCCCCTTCGTAGGGATGCGAGAAGCTATTTCGGAACCGGCAGCTTCTCCCTGCTTGGCTGGTACCTGTCACCTGAGGCGAGAGCAGGGCGGGAGCAGAGGTGAAGGAAGATGTTGCTGTGGACTCGCACCTCGCTCACGGGATTGTGGTTCTTGCAATAAAGCGTCTTGTTTTGACTCCAGGAGGAAGATGAGGAAGAAGATGGTGAGGACGATGAAGAAGACGAAGCTGATGATGGTGAGTCGAATCCTAACAAACTTGCCTCAACGGTCTCACACAGTTGCTGGTTTTGTGGAGCTTCCCAAGCTTCAGGGCAGTGCTGTTGTTGCCTGCAGCTTTTCCCTGATACCAAGTGCCACATTTCTGCTTATGGGCACTGCTGAAGCTGTCGCTAATGCCTAAGCTGACTGTCGAGCAGTGGTTATAACCAAAGGGGCACACAGTGCTGATGGGGAAACAGGTTTCAGTGCCTCCTAATGCCAACCAAGCTGGGTAAGCCCACCAAATATTAGAGGCAAATTGCCTGGAAGACCGGTTGTAAGTAGCCTGCACTGGTAGTCCATGCAGGATCCAGGCTTCTGTCACGGAAGCTGGTGTGAGCAGCCTGTGTGTGAGGAAATGCTCTTGCAGGCACGTTCCTTTCATGTAGAGAAGGGGGTAGACCTGAGCTTCCTCTCACTGTAACTCCTGGTTATAACAAACTATGACTACCTGAATGAATGTTGACAGAACAGTGGCTGCCGTGACTTCGTATGAGCTTGGTCAGAAGTGATTGAACTCTGCAGATGCTACGTTTTTGGGGGTGCTTAACAGAGAAAGCCCATGAAATGTGGGATGCTTGGAGGGCACAGAAAATAGTTAAAAGTCTTGTGCTAGTCCAGGCTTTTCTGGGTGCCGTGAGAAACTGGGCGGGGTGGATCTCTGCTCCGTAATGGTGCCAGTCTAGTCTGTGCTTGTTCACCAACAAGCTGTGGCTGACGTGGCTCGAAGCCGCTGTTCAGATGCTGTTCCGCGAGGCTGAGCAGAGCTTCATGCTTCACCTCTTTTTGCAGACCTTCCGCGAGGGGAAAAGAGAAAACGAAATATAGAGGATGAAGGAGAGGAAGATCCAGAAGACGAAGAGGACGATGAGGATGACTGATCCCAGCGAGCCAATCAGTTTTACAGACTATGACTGTGCTTGTCTTAACCTCCCCATTGTGTCTATGTGAGACTGTAAATCCCCGTCTCCCACTCCTCCCCCCTTTGTATGGCTGCAGCGTCCACAATATATTTTTTTAAGATGTAGAATACTGTAGGCATTCAGGGGAATCTTCCATACAAGGCTCACTTTCTCACAAGTATCTCATGACCAAAGGCTTTCTCCGTTCTGTGGTTTGTGCAGCAGTTTGCAAAAAAAAAAAAAAAAGAAAAAAAATTCCTCCTAGGGTATCTTTTGTGTCTGAAATCAGCCTTGCCACACTGGACCCAGAGCTCCAGCCCGCCACCCTGCCTGCCAGCCAAGAAGGCGTGTTTGCTCTGCCCATGCCCTCAGACCAGCTTTCTGAAGACGCTTGAGCCATCCTGAGCAGTGGGTGCAAATCTGGTTCATCTAAACGGACTCGAAGCGAACGGTCGCTGAGGTCTCTCTGACCAGAAATCATGGTGATGTGATCTCTGGAGATGCTTGAAGATAACTTTAGTGCTGGGGATGTGGGGTGCCTGGGGTCTGGGGTCGGGGGGGTTGGCTGCTTGCAAGACCTGGTACCTCTTGACGATGCACCTTGCAGTAGCCCTGCACTTGCTTTCCTATTTTTTTTGTTTTGTTTTATAAACGAGTATTTTTCCTGGTGGCCACCTAATAACGTGGATCTCCAAGTCAGTCTGGTGGTGGTTTTTGGTGGTTGTGTTTTTTTGGTTTTTTTTATTTTTTGCGGCTGTGAGCGGTTGTTTGCCGTGACGAGCCTTCTCGTCACCCCGTAGCAGCCTTTGCCTTGAGGAAGAGGTAGGAAATAGCAGGTGAAGGGATACTGCACTTCTGTCAAACTCCATTTCGCACTGTACAGAACACGTTCAACCTGTATCACTGTGATGCACCTAACTCGGCGTTCCCCGGAGACCGTGTTAGCCTCTATAATTCTCAGGGTCCTTCTGCTCGCCAGTACCAGCTCTGGACAGTTGCCTCGGTGCTAGCCTGGTGTACGCATCTTTTCCTTTTCAGCGTGAAGAGAAGTGCATTGATCAGAAATCCACCTCGCTCCCGCTCGTCTTTACGCTCCGCGGGAGCACGGACGGTGCCGCGGCCGCGTGTCCCGTCCCCCGCCAGCCCTGCAGTGGTTGGAAGGAGTCCCGGGGGGGCACACCCGCAGGGTGTAACTCCCTGCTGGAGGGTTTCTGACCCTTTGCCCATGGGGACAACTGGCCCCGTGGCACCCGAGGGCTGGTGGCTGCTCAGTGCTGGGTGCCAGCGAGCCGCGCTGGGGCGGGGGTCACCGCTGTGTCCCTGTCCCCCTCCCACACCCCGCTCTGCTGTCGGGGCTCCCCACGGGTGCAGACGCACTGGCACTTTGTGGCAGGCCCCGGGGGTGGGGGTGCGGGGTTGCTCTGGGTGATCTGTGGGCACCCGGCGCTTGGAGGCGAAGACTCGCGGCGGCTCCTCCCGAGCAGCCGCGTGTGCGTCGCGGCCCAGCCGAGTTCCTGTCGCTTTGTTCTGTCCTTGCTGTCGTCACTTGCGTTGTACAGTAGCTGTAACCATTCGGAGAAGAACTAGTCCTGTAAAATGCAAACTGAGTAACTTATAAATGTTAAAGGAATTTTTAAAAGAAATTTCAGAGCAGCAGTTACTTCTAATTTTTCCCTGCATTTTTAGCAGATTGTATGGATTTTATATTAGCCTAGTAACTGTCAGGTTTTTGATTGGTCAGACTAGTCCCAGAAATAAGGATCTCCAGCCCTTTTGTATCTTTTGTTACAAAATTTGGATAAAACTTTTAATAAAGATTTCAGTTTTTAAAAATCCACTGCGATGAACGTTGTCCTCGCTGCCTCTGCTCTAGGAACGCCCCTGCTGCAGCCCAGCCTGCAGGAACACGTGGAAGTTTTGGGGCGTTTTTTGTGTCTCGTGGGAGTAGTGACTGTCCGGTGCCCCCAGCACGCCCTGGTTTTGCTCTGAGCCCCCCCAGCCCCGGCTGCGTGGATGTTGGTAAGTGCAGTGGGGGGCTGGTGGGGTGGATTTGGGCACATGGGGGCTGCTCGTGGGGCTCTGGGGTTGGGTGGGGTGGCGCGGACAGTGCTCTCTGGCTTGGGGGGCTGTGGCTGGGCTCACAGATCAGGGAGAGGCTGGGGATGGGTCCCACTGCTGGGTTTTAGGGTGGGCACCCACACTGCCCTGGGGGAGAAGCTGGGTGCTCGGGCAGGGAGGAGGAGCCCCACTGCAGGCTGGGCTGGGGGGTCCAAACTGTGCCCAATGCCACGGTGCTTGCTGCCCCCCCGTTGTTGAAGGCCGGAGGGGTCCCTCGACTTGCTGGGGCTGTGTGGTCCTGCTCTGGCTCTGTCAGCAGTTGCTGCTCCACCGGCTCTCAGCAGCTGGGGGGGCTTCAGCTCAGGCTTCTTGCGTCAGCCCGTCTGTCCCCCTGCTCTGGGCTGGGGGTGAGGGGGGGTCTGTGCTGGACTGGGGCAGGGGGCAGCCCCAGAGCGGGGAGGCAGAGCAGCGGGGGGCTGCTGCACCCCAGCCCTGCCCATGCTGCCGCCCTGCTTACTGAGCCCCCCCATGGGGTGAGGGTCCCCCCTTTCACACACAACCTCGCCGCCCCCTCCCCACCCAGATGGGTGCCTGCGGGGGCTGCCCACTGCAGTGAGGAGCCTCCCACTCGCTCCTGTGCACGGAGGCAGCGGCGCTGGAGCTGCAGTTGGGTCTGTCCGGCCTGGTCCGTCCGTCCAGCTGGGTCTCTGCTCCCCCCCCCTCGTCTCCATCCTCGCTGTCCCTGTCCGGGGCTGGTGGCTCCCCCAGGGGTGAGGCCGCCCAGCACAGGGGTGCAGACGGGAGGGAACTGTGGCAGTGGGATGCTGCTCACCCAGGTAGCGGGAGGAAGGCGCATCCACCCCGGCCAAGCAGCCCTCAGCCCCCTCCTGCCCCCCACCACGGGGCAGCGCTGGGGGCGCAGGGGCTCAGCTCTGTGCCCCCCTGCTTGGCTTAGCGAGGGGGGGCTGCAGGCAGGGGAGGTGGGAAGGCGAAGCCCCCCCACAGGACCTGT